TATGCCGGGAGAAAGGTTAAGAAACTATTTGTACACATTGTATGCCGGGAGAAAGGTTAAGAAACTATTTGTACACATTGTATGCCGGGAGAAAGGTTAAGAAACTATTTGTACACATTGTATGCCGTGGTGTCGTTAGAAGAGAGACAACTTTTGACTTTGGTTGTAAACTTTGCCACCAGAAGAAACCAGTGACTAGGACTAGGAGTGTTTTGCTGGCATAGCCTTGTACGTTGTTGATGTTGTATAATATTACTAGCTGGGCCCCCTTTCAATGAAAGGAATGATAGGTGCATTAACATCAACTAAAAGTCATTGGTCTACTGTATTACTTGACACTCTACTGACTCTATCAGAATGGAGCAATAAAAAAAGCGATGACAGGCATCAAGCGAAAGGATCACAGTCGAATTTAGTTCCAAGTTAAAAAAGAAAACATGAGACTAGATCTATACGGGTTGCACAGTTAAAATAGTGCTCAGTATATTTAGAAAATCCGCCAGGTTTGTTTATTTCAAGTCGTACTTCCGTTCGATACTATCGCGCATTGTCGTGCAATACTGAGCACTATTTTAACTGTGCAAACCGTATAGATCTAGTCTCATGTTTTCTTTTTTAACTTGGAACTAAATTCGACTGTGATGCTTTCGTTTGATGCCTGTCATATTCCCATATGGCGCAGAGACCTGGACTTTGACAAGGAAAAAAGAAAACAAAGTAAATGCGTTTGAGATGTGGTGCTACCGTAGAATGGCCAGAATAAGTTGGAAAAAACAAACAAACAAACAAACAAACAAACAAAGAGACGTGTCAGATTCTACACACAAGCCAAACCCTGCTGAGTAAAAGAAAAATTAAAGTAGGAAAATACATTACTTTGGTCACTGAAAACGACACGAGACCACTGTGAAAGAGGTGCTTTAAGGAAAGATGTGGGGCAGCAGAGCTAGAGGAAGACAAAGAATAATATGGATGGACAACATAAGAAACATGAATCGTTGGCCTGGATATGGCAAAATGTGCAAAGGCAGCTCGCTACCGTTAAGGATGGAAGGTTATTACACGTCAACTTCTGAGTCAGAGGTGACACCTCCAAGTATCCAGGTACTTATCGATATGTGTTTGTCGGAGTCGCCTCACATTCAATAGATCCTGGGTTCGAAACCTGACAGTGACGAAATATTTTCACTTCCTTTTCTACCCCCCCCCCCCCCTTCTCTGGGCTCCGGACTTTTTCTATTGCTTCTCCTGGTTTCTTCTTAGGGTAGGTAAGATTGAACATTGAGCCTTCTGGTGGTCCGTGTGCAAGTGCCGCTTGTTAAAGATCCCTCAGTGGCTCTAAAATAAATAATTTATGAGTAGGCTTCGGCTGTCACCCGTACAAAATCTAGTACAAGTACCTACCAAAATTAAAATTAAATGTGAAAACAACCAACTTGGGTCCAACGCGCCCATATGACCTGAAGCGGTTGCAAGCGGCGTAAAAATACTTACCAAAACCAATTAATTACAAAAGGTAAATTCTTGTCCAAATCTACTTCTTTGAGAACTGATGCCGTTATTGTCCTAAGTCAGCTGTCACTTGCAACTTGTCTTACATTAAAAGTCACCAACAAACTATGGTCTCAATACAAACTGTCTTCCGGAGACATAGCGATAATGAAGAAAGAAAATTATTTGAAATATTATCAATAAATATAAAACAGTAATAACAAAAAAAAAAAAGAAATACTGCAAGAGTGAGAGGGTGCAAGATTCACGCTGATTGTTTGGAGGTTCTAGCTGCCTGTTATTTCTGTACCTGTCAGATATCACACATTTCTCAAGATCTCAGTGACTTTCACCGTTCCTTGTCTTCAACATAACTGGGGG